GGGAAAAATAGATTTTATTTCGGGGACCCGGGGGTTTCCACCCCAAGAGGGGGGGTGTTATTTTTTTCCGATATTAAACTTCATTTTTGAATTCTCAGGTCCCCAGAGCATTTGGGCCCAAGTGAATAAGGGCCATTCTTGGGGGGCATGCCTTGGTACAACAGACCCTTTTTTTTTTTTTCATCCCCCCCCCCCCAACCCTCCCCCCCTTCCGTCCACGCACATCCACGGGATTGGAACTCGTTTTTCGTTTGCCCCCAGGAGGAAGAGAACACCGGTATGCGTTCCGGAGGCGTCGTTCCCGGAGGGGGAGCGTATCCTCCCGGCCCCGCCACCAGTGGATTGGGCCCCGGATTCGGCCCGGGGCTGGGCCCCGGGCTGGGCCCCGGCTTTGGCCCTGGCCCGGGGGGGGGGGTGCCGGCGTCAGCGGCTCCGCCGGCCCCCGGCCCTGCCGGAGTGGTTCCTCCGCCGCCTCCGCTTCCGGGTGAGTTGTGTGTGTTGCTTGTTGCTTGTTGTTGTTGTTGTTGTTGTTGTTGTTGTTGTGTGTTGTTTGTTGCTTGGTAGGTTGTCGCTGTCGCCGCTGCTGCTGCTGCTGCTGCTGCTGTTGGTTGCGTTTTGGATGTGTACAATAATTCACGACGCTGTTGCCGCAGTACTTGTTTTTTTGTTGTGTCTTCGCTGCTCCAACTGTGGCGGTTGTTTTTTTGAGATGGCGCCCAATGCGAGAGCGTCGAGTTCGAACCCGGGTAAACAACCGAGGGGGGCGACTCGCCCTGTGTTGCCGCCTTGCCGTTGCCATCCTCGCGTAAGGCTCGCGGGTTGTTCCCGTACGTAACTCTCGCCGCTCGTTTCAACCGACGCTAAGCCACGAATCCCCTGCCGACCTCCTCCTCCCCGGCGTTCCACGTCGTCTTTCGCAGGCATGCCAGGGGCGGGGGTCCCACCGCCGCCCCCCCTGCCCGGCATGCCCGGGGCTGGAGTGCCGAGCCCGCCCCCGCTGCCTGGGATGCCCGGCGCCGGAGCTCCGATGCCGCCCCCGCTCCCGGGGATGCCGAGGCCGATGGGGATGCCAGCACCACCCCCTCTCCCTGGAGGTGAGGGTCTCGGAAGCAAAGGGGGCACCCCCCTGCTATGCATAGGCCTTGCCTTTGTTTTTCGGAAGCAAAGCGCCTTGTGGGAATGAGTATTGTACTCCTTGGCTGCTTCCATCCAAAATGGAAGTGACCCCCTCCCCCTCTCTCCAACGGTGGTCGAGTAGATTATGTCGTGCGGGGGTGGAGAGCCCTACTCACTCCGCGCGCAAGGACCGGCCTTCGCGCGATTTAATGAGTTAAATGAGGAAATAAAACTGGGACGGGGTACGCAGACCCTATTCCGCAACGCTTACCCTAGCCCAACTTCCCCGATTACATGCTGTGCAGTATCCAACATATTTACGTATAGTACGAAATACCCTGCGGAGGGTACTGCCGCGCAATTGGTCAAGCACCCTCGAGGCAGTTACCGTAAGGTTGCGAGTCAGCGCACAGGGGTGCGATCTATTTTCAAAGCGTAATTTCTCCACAACCAGGAGGTTAGAGTACCACTGCGGCTGTCGAGAAGGGCGGTTTTGGAAATATCTCATCGAGAGCTTTCCTGAGGAATATCAGTTGGCGCTCGCACCCTTCTGGCTGTGGAGAAATCACGCTTTGAAAATCGATCGCACCCCTGTGCGCTGACTCGCAACCTTATACGGTACACAGTGCTTATAGCTGTCTCTGGTGGAAGTGAAAACACCAGAAATATAAATTGAGTCATTCGCAGCTGTCATCGGTATGCAAGGAAGTAGGCACACAAGATGCCGAACACCCTGAGCAGTATGCAGCGCACCCTTCATGCGACTCGCCGAATACATGACGGCCGTTCGCGCTTGGGTGATGTGAGAGCCTGGTACGGTGAGAACCCCGTGTGTTTTCCAACCCGGCATTGTAGGGAGGCGAGGTCGATGGTCTCACGACTACGACATGCGTTTACATGAGTACCCCTCACCCCCTCCCCCCGGTTTCTCTGATAGTTCAATACCTTGTGGGAACAGCCACTCCTTAGCTGCTTCCTTCCCAATAACAACCCGTCCCGATAATTGTCATCACTGTTAGTCCAGAGCCTTTGTGGGGACAATCACTCCTCCCGCTGCTCCCTCCCTTGCCATTCACAACGACCCCGTCCCCCGCCCCCCGCCCCCCGCCCCCCCTATGATCAGCGCCAGGAGTCCCTGGGCCGCCGCCTTTGCCCGGAATGGCCGGCAAGATGCCAATGCCGCCGCCGATGCCCGGGGGGGGGAAGCTTCCCGCGGCGCCCCCTATGCTGGGAAATCTGCTGGCGAGGGGGCTCCCCGGATTGGGACCGGGGTTGGGGCCAGGGCTGGGGCCGGGGAAGGGCGGCGGGTTTCCTGCTCCGCCTCCACCGAGTGAGTGGGGTAGAGGGCTCTTTCTTGTCCCTCGTGGTTGTTTGTTGCTCAAATATGTGTAGTGAACGTCGGCGCTTGTTTTGGTCTTGTAGTTGTTTCTGCTGCTCGATGTATCTCAACCAACGGAAGACCTTGATTTTGATCCTTTTGTGTTGTTGTAGTAGTAGTTGTTGTTGTTGTTGTTGTTGTTGTTGGCTCATTGTATCTGAACAACGTAGGCCCTTCCGTGGGTCCTGTTGTTGGAGGGCGGCTGGGAAAATGAATATGTAGATGGGGAGGGTGGAAGGGACGAAAACACATGTGCTCGGACCGTGTCCCTTTGTTTGCTATGACACAGGTATTTATTAGTGAGGGGGAACTACGTGCATGCGCTGTTCGCGCTGCTACGGTTGCCACCGGCGCTTCTCGATCCATTTTTCTTTTCTTGGGGTGGTATCGATTTGACCCTTAACCTCAAACGTTTTCTCGTGTTTGTTTGCCTACCCTTCTCGCTTGCGTCCCCCCCTCCCCCCCGCTCTCATCTTGTTTCCATGTCCGATCGAAAGATATGCCTTCGTTGGCTCACGGGAGGCCCAAGAAGCCCAACAAGAAGCCCGACGTTGCGCTGCGAAATCTCTTCTGGAACAAGATTCCTGACACGAAGGTGCATACCATATGTGTTAACCTTGGCGTCGTCGTCGTCATCGTTGGTGGTGGTGGTGGTGGCGAGGCCGCGGCGTTGTTGTGTCTACCCATGCCGCCGTTTGTTGGTATTTGTTTTTACGCATGGCGTGTTTTTTTCGTCGTCGTTCGTGTTCCCAACGATTGTCCCGAACCCCCCCCCCCCGGCCCCCGGAAACGCCTGGTGCTGCTATTGGTCCCCATTTTGCTGTCGTCGTCGTCGTCGTTGTTGTCGTCGCTGTTGGCCGCCTGCGGCGTTGTTTCTACTCATCGTGCATGTGTCTTTTTATCGTCGTCCGTGTGTCGCTGTCGTTGCCCCCAGTGGTATGGTATCTAGCGCATGACTCGCATGTATATGCCATGTTTTTATCGTCGTATTTGTTCCCAACGATTGTCCTTGACACGCACACACACACACACACCTTGAAATGCCTGGTGGTGCTGTGCCGTAGATCACGGGCACGGTGTGGGAGAAGTTCGACAAGGAGCTGGGGGGTACGGAGATGAAGCCGGGGGATGACCAGAGCCTCCTGGACATGAACTACGTCACGCAGCTCCTGTCGAGCGTAAGTCCTAGGTCACTAAGTATATTACTGTCAGTTGGCTCGATTCTCGCGCCTCGTGGTGTCTGATTGGTTTTGAATATGAATAGTGCACTCCTCTCTGTGAATGCCTACCACTTCTTAGCCCCTCAAGACACGAACAAACACAATAGAGGGCGCAAGACGCAATACCTGGCGGACTACACAACAACTTTGTCGCGTCACTGATATTTTGCAGACGACAACGCCGAAAAAAGGACACGTCGTTGTCTTTTTTGTCTTTTTTTGAGTTTATTGGAGTCCTTTTCTTGGTTCGTCCGACGACTCCTCGGGAGAAATCACGTCGGACGTGATGCGACGATGTTTTGTCGAATGCGATGACCCCCCCCTCCCCCCCCCCCCAAATATCAAACTTGTGCGTGGTTTTTTCCTCTGTGGCCCCGGCTGGTGTGCGGAGGAAACGTCCCCGAATGGGGGGATAACTGACCCTCTGAAAAAATGATACGATCCTTGAATAAATGGGATGATCCTTGATAATATGAGAGGACCCCCCCCCCCCCCCCCCGTTGCC